TTTTTTCCCCCTGTGTTGCTTCTATATGCAGTTTACAATTTGTTCTATAAAAAATTGGTGGAAAAAAAAAACATTCCAAGTACCACTTCAAAAAATAAAATTGTCTAAATGCCACCATAATGACAACATTGAGATATTGTACTGTACTGTAAGGCTCAAGTGTCGATCATAACAAGGCATCGTGACATTGTGCATTTTGAATATTAGAAGTGTACGGTCAACAAAACAAAAAGAAACCCGTGTATGCACAGATTTACTTTGATGTGTTTAATTGTACAGTATTGCATGTTTTCAATCAATGTTTTATCTGTATTTTTAATTCAGTGATTCTTTTGTGTAGTCGTGGACCTGGTGCCATATTTTGAAAATCATTGCTCTATATCTATATAATTGAACAAAATACTGTACTGTATAAATACCATCATAAATGACAGTATATGATTTCTATATTAAGTTTCATAGTACATTCAAGTCTATCTTACAAATTTGTAATTAAATTAGACAGTAAAATAAAGTTTAACAGCACACATACTAAACTCAAAGCCACAATTTGTGTAGTAATATTTAATTATCAAACTTTCATTTCAACTTGTGGAACTAAAGTACTGTACTCAGTCACACCAAAGGTTGGGAAAAAACCCCATAAGAAAAAGGTTTTCTCTAATATAATTTATTATCTATTCATAGCTTATGTAACCTATAAAACTAAGGTTCAGTGACAATATAATGAGTATTTTGATATGCTTGTGAAAATTCATACCGATGCATGTTTTGGCACAATACATCATGTTCTTCAAAGTATTGTAGCATGATAGAACAGAAATGTACACACACACACACACACACACACACACACACACACACACACACACACACACACACACACACACACACACACACGGCTTTGGTGTGTTTTCCCTTAACTTTGACTGGATAAAAAATGCAAACAAGCTTACACGATTCAGACCAAAACTTTGGCTTTCCCACTAGCATTCATACAAAACACACTTTGAAGTGCAAAGTTGAAAATTCACACTGGTTAGAACAAATTAATTTTCCAATGAATTCTACTTTCACACCCTTTTCAAGCCAAATGATCACTGTTTCAATTTGGTATTATGCTCTCGAAAGACAATGAGGTGAGGAAAACAATACAAGATGCTCCTTGTGCATGTCGAGTTAGGTGACAGTTCTGCAAGAAAAAGTGAACATAAGTTTCTGGGGAAGCCAGCAAAGAACTGAAGACATGCAGCACCAATTCCACCTACTGCAGGGGTGGGGCAACCACACTGCAGTCAGAGCTCGCTTCTGAGAAGACAAATAAAGCAACATGGTATAATTTTACTCATTAATATTGTACACATTCGGTGGATAATAAAAGTCTACACACCCCTGCTCAAATGCCAGGTTTTTGTGACGTAAAGAAAATATTTACACCTGGCACAGCAAGTTGAGTCACAGTGTGTCTACTTCGACACTGAGCGAGCATTGTGCTACGCTAATGAATGGCAATCGACCAATCAGAGGCCAGTATTTTGGGGTCGTGATCTCTAGAATAGCAGTAACTCAATTCATGGGGATTGTGATGGAAAATCCTGCCGATTCCTGGCCCAATGCTTATGATGACATAGAATTGTTAAAATTAATACAAAACTAGCAAAGGGGAATTGTCAGCTTCAAACTGACATCTGTATGTTGGGGATATCTACGAAAGAAACGTTTTAAAAAACGGGCATTTGGGTGTGTGAACTTTACATGTCCACTGAACATCATTAAGCTCGTGTGGGTGAACATCGTGTTTTGATATACCCCGGCCACTGTCGTCTCTTGTCTGTCAGGGGGACGTAAACCACTCCCATTAAAGCTCTTTTGAGGAAGGTGCCGTTACTCTGACGGTCGTACTGTTCCAGCACCTGACTGCCACCACTGGGGCCGACTGGCAGCACCAAGCGCCCACCTGGCTTCAGCTGCTCCAGGAGCTTTAAAGCAGGAGGGAAGGGAATTCAAGAGGCTCAGTTCAATTTTAGCCTATTTTGGCTTCTATTGTTTTGTACAGCGGAACCTCTGAAGGTAAACACAATATGTTAGAATCTTTTTTTTTTTCAATGGCTATAAAAAAGTGGTTCCACGAGTATTCATTTTATATAGCGCTTGTTTTTATTAGAGTGGCAAGTGAGCTTGAGCCTACCCCAGCCGACTTTGAGCGAGAGATGGGGTAAATCCTGAAAAAGGTTGCCAGCCAATTACAGGGCACAAAATGACATGCCCTTCATTTTTTGCGTGTGTCTCCTTTCTCTCTCGGTATTTTGGAATAAGTGTTGCAAAATGCATATGGAAAAGCAAACAGATCTTTCCACAGTAAGCACACTGAATTGAGATCTTGTAAGGTATGATTATGTCTAACAAGATATGCTGACATCTCGTGTGTCATTGAGGAAAAATGTTGCAACAAAAGCTACAAAAATGAAGTGAAGCTTACAGATTTCATAATTTGGTACTTTTCTGATAATCATCTTTTGAGGCATATGTTTCCAGAAAGTTTTGCTTACATTCTAAAATTGTACAACTCAAAATTCATTTGACCTGAAAGGTTATCAGGTATTACAGTATTTTCTGCACTACAAGTCGCTGCAGAGTATGAGTCGTTCCAGTGAAAAAAATGCATCAGGAAGAAGAAAAAAATGTACTTTGAAAAATATATAGTATGTATGCATTTACAGGCTGCTAAAATGCATACATACGGCCTTAGGAACAGTAGCCGCAGCTGCACCAACATGAATGGCATCATAAGGGGCTCCCTCTGGGTACCCGAGCCTTCCATCTCCCACTGCGGACACATAGAGATAAAAATGGCTTCTTTCACACTTGGTTTAAACAAGCAGTCTTCCCTCGCCAACATTTGCATACTGTTGTCTTCAAATGAATGCGCCTTTTTTTTGTAATTCAAATGAAGTCGTAACCCTTCCTACGTGGGTCTTGCGTTTATATGACGGCTGCTGAGTCTCCCCAACATTTCCACTCTCAAAACCTTGTGTCTGCTCTGCACACACCACAGGATAATTGATCAGAATACTTTTTTTGAGCATTTTTTTCTTCCATTGATTGAGAAGGGTGGAGGGTTGTCGAAAATCGGCCTTCTTGTCGGTAACCCACTTGAGATATTCAAATGTGGTTTGTTTTTAACTCACCCACAAGTTTGATGCGTCCTGAGGCAATAAGTTCCGGGTCGTCAGCTTGGATGTTTCTGATTGAACTTTGAACCAGTTCGTCGATGTGGTCAACTCCCACTACTCTCCCATAGCTTCCTGTCTGCGCGCAGGAGAGAGGAAGGCAGCTGCTGAGGGAACCAAATGAGTGAAGCGTCCACACTACGAAGGAACAAGCTGACCTGATTTGGACATTTACCATTCTTGCAAAGCAGGCGGTGAGATAGCCACTTCCTGAGCCCACGTCCAGGGCCGATGCCCCTTCTGTGAGTTTGTCACTCAATAGCTCCAGAGCGTGGGCGTGCTGTCAGGATGAGAGAACATTGTGGTGCCCAGTACCAAATTTAGTCCACTTTTCAACCAAAGCAAGCTGGAATCTATTCCAGCTTCCCAAGACCGTGAACAGGTTTAGGGGTGGCATGTTCCCGTTTCAGACTTTGGAAATGAAGAGTCAGTGTGTATCTCACTGTACAGATAAAGGTGCCCATCCCATCTTGTGATATAAAATTCAGTGATGTGAAAATGCAGGGTGAAATCTGAATCAAGTGGTTTTAGTGTGTGGAAAGAGAGGCACGTCCTTAGATAATGTCCCCATAATCCGAAATGGACCCGGCATTTCCTGCACAGTTTGGGAAAATTTGCTTTGATCCAGTATAAACATCTCATTTTTTTGCTTTAAAATACTTGTTGGTGTATCTGATGATGCTACACATAAGATTTCATTCAAACTCTTACCATGTGTGGTGCACTGATGGTGGCTCTGAAGCCTGTGACAGGAAACACACGGTCACTTTCATGAAACAAACGTGTGCAGCAAATTGATGCATGTTGGTGCGTTTGCAAAGAAAAGCCTGCAAACGGAGACCTATGGACTGAGGAGAGTCTGCATATGGATAATCCCTGGAGTAGATCGCTCTGTCTGTGGCCAGCATGGCACTGAACACTCTGTCGCTGTGGATGACGCCATGCTCTGAATAAGCAAATAGATGACAGGATGACATTACAGCGATTTGTGACTTATGAGCTGCCCGTAGGAGGAACAGCCAAACAGGCTGCCTTTCATATGATGATGGAAAATATTTACTTTTTTTTTTAACGTTTTATGTATATAAGTTGGCTGCCTATGAAAGCGTAGAACTGCCAATGTGGAGTAAACATTTGTGTTTGCAAGGACGTTCAAACCAATTAGCAAGTATATTTAAACGTACTTGTCGGCGAAAAAGTCACAAGTAAAAGAATGCTTTTTTTTTTTAAAAGCATTTGGCCTACATTATACCAATGCATTTGAAAATTAAGTCAGTAAACAGTGTTTATCCGTATTTTTTATGAATTATTATGTGCATGATTTCCTTTCAGAATTTTTTTCTCCATTATTTCATGAGGTATGGTGTTGTGCATGCACATTTGCAAGTACATTTGAACGTACTGCTTATCAAACTGTTCACTCAACATTGCCAATTCCGCTCATCTTTTGCTTTTCACCCCCAGTCGAGTAAAAAAAAAAATTATATATATATATATATATATAAATTGCAGCCTTTGTGATTTGATTTAATTCGATTTAATTAATTGTTCACTCTTAACCCTTATGTCATGAATAAACACCCACATGCCCCACAGGTTCAACGTCTCTGTTGTCATGTCAAAGCCGAAAGGTAAGCAGTGCTGTATTGATTTCTGCTCATTGCACAAATTAGCATTAGGTTCTGACAAACGACAGTGTTTGGTGATACAGTATGTACATGCACCACGTGCACACAGTATAGCAGTACTTTTTTACTTCAGTTTACTTGATTAATTTGTTTTTCTGATGACTGCACTTAATTTCAAAATTTCTAAACAGCCATTATAGTGACTGAATTTACCCCTGAGCCTGGTTATGAGCTCCTGGTGTGTTTTGCCACTGGACATCCACGCCATGGTACGGGACAGCAGCACCCCCATCGGGATCGCCACTATTGCCAGCCGCAACGCTGCTCGCATCTTTTACAACGAATCTCGCTGAACTGACATCACGGAACTAGACAGAGGACACGCAAGATACGGGAAGGTTTAATTAATTGACGGACGGACAGATAGATACGGTACGTATACGAATTCTGCCAGTCTCTTTCCTACGGCAAACGTTTGACAGTCACCCCGGACTTCAGTGGATGATACAGTATAATTAAAGCTAGGCTTGTATCAATTCACATACGCGCTTACTCAATTGCAAAGTAGAGTTCAATTTCTTTTGGTTTACCTGAGCTGTCACAACGAGCACCGCGCAACCTGACTTCTGGGTTAACCGATAGCTAGCCAATCATCTGGCTCGCATTTAACCGGAAACACCAGTGATCCAATCACATCACAATAAGGTTGACTGATGGTGTCTATGTCCAATCCCATTTCACAAAATACGGAAATGTGCCTTTTTTGTCGTTCATTGAAGCTAGTAGATCATGGAGACAGTAAACGCGTAAAGCTCAACATTTTTTTGTTAACAAAAACAGATAAACAGAGGAAACAGGCGACCCGGTAAAGGTTTCCAATAAGGTAACACGTGTGTTCATATTACAATGAACTAAATTTGAAATTGTGCTCACATTCTCTCATCTATTTTAGCATTTCGGCAAATGCATTTTTTTTCTTTAACGTTACTCAATCTATCTGATTATGACATACGTAGATTGTCAAAATGACAGACTGCAACAGAATGATCGACGACTTCGAGAAACAGGAGGTTCGGAGCAGCGGGGAGCTCTGGTCCCAAATTTGTGGCCCCAGCCTGCCGCAGATCCAAACCCAGACCCCCCCGGACAACAGCACGGACTTCCACGACTCTTTCCATCCGGTGGGAGGGCACGGCAATGACCAGTCTGATGGGATACACACCAGCGCATTCCCCAGTGGTCGATGGGAACCCATGGAGGATTCAGAGACTTACATTGCCAGTTTAGGTTTGATTGCATCGCTTATTCACCCCTTAATCCCCCCGCCCCCAACGACGGAAAGCATGTCAGCTAAAGACGGATTTGAAAACCCCCAACCGATCCATCGAAGTGGATAATTCCTCACGGTACACCGCATGATCTCTCATGGTACACCAATGTGTCATGTCACAATGGATGGGAATTACTAAGCCAAAGCATTGGATGACTTTACTCAGAAAACAGAAATGCACACTTCTCACAGTAGTTCAAAGTGTTTCTAGCACTTTCAAAAATGTCTTAGTGTAAAAAGTTGGAAAACTTTTGATCCAAGTGCTACTACAAAAACAGTTGAGTTCTCCAACCAGTATTGTATAGTATACCTAAATGGCCTTTAAAAGGATGCAGACGTTTTAGTGCCAAAAAGTATATTTAATACTATTTGTAGGTCGCTGAAACATTGTTGTTTTTTTTTTTTTGTCTCAGAGAATCGCCTGAAAAAGCTCAAGGGTCAGTCCAGCGACGTCACCTCCAGGGACATGCTGCGCTCCTTGTCTCAAGCCAAGAAGGAATGCTGGGATAGATTCCTGCATGACTCTCAGGCCTCTGAGCTCTTCCAGAGCAACAACATGGATGAAAGGTATTAAGGTGAAAGTCAGATATTCTCAATGCAACAACGTGACAGTATTAATTGACGTCAATTCCAGTAGACACCTGATGGTGGTGTAGTGTCAAATTTGCTGAACCATGAGATGGATAAAAATGAATGGATTCATCTTCTTACTTTTTATTCCCCCAATAAAATATTAATCAGGATACCGCGTTTAGGCTAAGAATGCAAAGAACATTTGAGGCTTTCACTTTAACCCATTTAATCCAAAAAATTTCCCAGACATTTAAGTCAAAATCAGGTGTCATTGGTAGCCCTTTTAAGTAATCGGTAATAAAAAAATTTTAGAGCCCTGTAAATTAAATCATTATTGTGAACAACACGTATATGAACACGTAAATGTTTAAATAAAATACACATACATATACGGTTGACTTGTGTGTCACTCTTTTGCAGTGCTGTTGAACACTTCAAGAGATGGCTTGTTCCAGAGAAAGTGGCCATCAGCGCAGAGGAACTGGAATATCTGCTCAGGCCGTCTGAGACGAAGGAACCCGCCCAAGCGGACCAGCAGGCGGGACACGGGGATGCGGAGGAAGAGCGTCACAACACTGTGGAAGAGGCTCACAGTCCTGAGAAATGACACTAAAACAAAAAGAAAGTCAAATACGGAATGCAAAAAAACGGCTTTCGCAGGTCATCGGCTGCTCTTTCCTGTTGGATAGTCATTGTTGTTTTTGTCTGTGCTATTTGCATTTTTTTAACCACAAGAGTTATTTGTGATGCCATTTGTGTCTCTTAGAATGCTCTAGCTTCAGAAATGCTAATGAAGGAACACCTGCAGAATGAACATGTAAAATATGATGCTTACATTCATGTAAAAGTGCATCCATATGAAGGTGTTCATGTTTACCCCGCATCATAATGATGTTTGACCCATGTTTTCAATTAAAAAAAAAATGTACGTCTTCATCAGTAGTCTTGAAGTGATACACAAACACAGACATTTTAGTATGTGTATTATTGAAAACCTTGGAATGGCTTTCACTTTGTGGTGTATGAAAATGAATTCAACAATCACCTCAATACAGTACGTGACACTGGTTGACTGACCCAATTCTTTGTAATATTGTTATCAATTATAAAATGATAGTCAAAATCATATTTTTATATAGCTTTACCCCTGTCACACACTTTGAACACAGTTGAACTTGTACAAACATATTTTTCAACCCTTTGTTAATAAGTTTAACACACACAAATGAAAAATACAGGATATATAAAACACTAAAAATACAGTCCTCTCTTTGTTTCTGCCTTTGCTGATGAGTGCCGAAGAAACTCTTTGAGAGTGCCTAAGAGACGAAACTATGAGCGTCTATTCTATTTCTTCGCAAAAGTACAAGAATAAAGTTGTAATATATTGAAAAAAAGCCAAGAGCTGTGTATGTTACAAATTGTAGGTGGAATATGAGGATAAGTCTTTGTAGTAAAAGAAGTACCTAAAGTTCTGTCGCAGATTGCGTTTTTTAAAAAATGAGCATTTATGTACGTCCAGGTCAGTTTGGCGACTGTCACCTCAAATGCGCGCCTGTTTGACAAACCACAGTACATCGACGACGGATTGTCATGGAAGAGAACTTGGAACACTTGGTTTTAAATTTACTCTAAATGGAATAAAATAGGTTTACCGGCAGATTACTTGGAAGTACATAAACGCTCACAAAAAAAAAAAAAAAATGCATTGCCCTCGCAAAAAGCGTTATTTCGCAATAACTGCGTTCCCTCGCATTCTTTGCAAGGGAACGCAGTCTTCTGCGAAGGAATGCAAAGTTTTTTTTCTCTTCCATGTCACCGTCGTGGATCCGTACAAATTTAAGTGCTACTGCTATTTAAACAAAGAACACATGAATAAACAGTTTTTTTTCTTCAGAAAAAAGTCAGAGTGGTGTCATTAAATAGGGTTTTAATTTGTTCAGAGACCATGTTCGTACCCGAAAACACAATTACCTAACATTAATCTTTATCGTGTTTTTTAAACATTTGTTCTCCAGAATTAATTCAACGTCAATATGTGCTCCTCACGTCGTAAGAATTTCCACAGAGTGGCATGATACCCAATTGCTTTTGGAGTAAATGTATTGAATTGTACAGTCAAGGAACATTTCGGACACACTGTGATGTTAGGTGCCAATCAACATATTTCAAGTTATGTTCTCTAAATACGTCAGCTGATTTTCAATCATGTCTATATTTCACATTCCTGTTTCTAAAGGTTAAAAGGAGTATTGGTGACTAAACACTTTTAGCGCTCTCTGTCGCAGCTGTGACATTTGCTGAGTGTTGCACTTCATGCGTAAGCTGTGCTCCGCTTAAATGTCAAGTGAAACATCACTTACGACCATGTTCAAAAGCCATGCCCGAAAAGAAAGCAGATGGGAAATGACAGCCTAAGTACAGAACTCTATTTGAGATGATGAGGAGTAAAACAAGCTGTAAAGTTGGAGGACTCACATTCATTCGGTCAGGGGTGGCCTAGCTGTCCCCAGTCGCGTGTGTCTAAAAACAAATAAAACCCCAAAACATTCAACCCACACAGACACTTTGGAGAAACGCCCTCAAGACATAAAGCAAGGATGTTTAGAACAGATCAAAGGAGGATGATATCTGATGTGAATCCACGTCGCTTGAAAAAAAGGTACATTTTATTTTTCCCTTTGGGATTTCGATCCCTCAAGTGCAGAAAGTATATGAAATAATCAGGAATATAAAAAAATTCTACCCAAGGCCATGACGGTATCTTTCTCGTCTGGTATAGTCCCTCAAGGACTCCAAATTGCTCGTCCTATATTCAAAACCGTCAATCCAAAGGTCTTTGATAACTACCGCCGAATATCTATTTTAACCTGTTCGGGTAAGATCCTGGAAAAACTGGTCTATGTGTTTTCAAGTCCTGGTCATTGAACCTTCTCGGGATTGTCTCAGTTTTTTCCCTTTAAAAGGGAAATCATGTGTCATTGACTTTTTTATGGTTGTGTGCAAAGTCTCGGCACACCCATTAAGTGTGACATTAAGCAACGAAGTAAGTCATCAACCAATACTTGGACTGTATATCGTATTTGTGTTTGACAATGTCACATGCACTGATCCGCCACAGTCGAGTGATTTTCAAAAGGTGTGCCACCAGTGATACGCCGGCCGCTGCCTAAGTTGTATTTGATGGATCATTTGCATGTGACAGCACCACCCTCTCAAAACAGGCCAATTTCAGCTACCGCAGTAAAGAATGATTTTAAAGTCAATCCCTACTATATTTTGACAAGTAATTGTTGCTATTGTTAACGTTTTCCTTTTTATAGGTCGCTGATGGTGTCATGGTTCACTTATGGTGCTTGGATATTGTAACATGCTTTTGTGTGTGTGTGTGTGTGTGTGTGTGTGTGTGTGTGTGTGTTTTAATATTTTGCTCTCTTTGACGAAGCAATGACATTTTCTTTTCGTCTCCTGTAAAATGATGATTTTGGCTAGAGAGCCCTCTTGTGGACTACATCTATTATGACAGCAGTCAACTTGACTGGGTGAAGTAAACCATCCAAAAGGTCATCCATCCATTCATCCAATTCCCAATCCGCTTTAGACTCACAAGGGTCACGGGGGGGAGGGGGGGGTGGGGGGTGTTGGAGCATGTCCCAGCTGTCTTCAGGCAGGGGACACCCTGAAGTTGTTGCCAGCCAATCGCAGGGCACACACAGACGAACCACCATCCTCGCTCACGCTCACACCTATGGACAATTATAAGTGTTCCATTAACTTGCCATGCATGATTTTGGAATGTGGAAGGAAAGCAGAGTACCCGGAGAAAATCCACGCAGGCACGGGGAGAACATGCAAAGTCCACACAGGGAGGCCGGAGCCGGAATCGAACCCTGCACCTCTGCACTGTGAGGTCAACGTGCTAACCACTGGATCACCGGGCCACCCCATACAAAAGGCATCCATCGAATTTCAACAGAGGGTAACTTCAGGGTGAGCTGGAGCCTATTTCATGCTATGCTCTGCACTGGTTGCCAGTCAATCGCAGGGCCCATAGAGCCCCTCAAGGGCACTCACACTGCCCAGACATTCTTTTTAAACCCCCCTCCCCCCACACACACACAGGCACTTTGAGCTCATATATTATTTATTACAATTAAATATTTGTCTTATATTACAGAGGTCCATTTCAATCAATACAAATAAACTGTGCTGTGATTAATATTTCCAAGATACTTCCAAAATGCCATGCAAGAGAACACAAACATAAAACAGCTCACATCAGAAACAATGTCGCAATTTGATTTTGAACGTTCTTCTACACCCAGAGGAATGATCTTCATAAATTCTTCTTTTCCATACGGGACACACTTGTCTCCCTCTTGTCTCTCTTTTTTGGTGCAATTAAACATGAGACCAGTGTCATCTGACTTATATGACAGAGAAGGCATTTGGAAGTTACATCAAAAATAAACTGTAACTGCTCACATTTCTCTTCTTGGAAAAAACACTCTGAATATATATATATATGTACATATATGTTTTTTTTGTAATTAAATAGGGGTTTACAGGAACAGGCACAGAGGACCAATTAAGACATCTAGTATCACACGTTGATTCATCAGGAGAGCTGAGCGACTTCTAAGGCCATACTGCATGTATGCTGCACTCTACTGTACTGTAAGAACACTGAGTGGGATTTTCCTTAATTTAATTGCGCTTTAGCAAAGCGGTCGTACTTCATCCATCCATTACTATTCATTCATATCAAATCACATCAATCAGATGTTCTCATCGGAATTTAGTAGGAAATTATACAAAAAGTTAAGCGCTGTATCACATCCAAAATATGTGCCACTTTCCTAAACATCGAAACAAGCTTTGTGCAGGCCGTTAAAATAAATGGTTAAATGTAGCATTCTTGTACAAGAAAAAAACAACAAACATCATATTTGTATTATAAATTTAATTATGAAAAAAAACTAGGTTGGGAAAATTATTTTCTGTAATGGGTTGATTATTAAAAAAGCAACATTTGGAGAACTGATTTTCAATTAAAAAAAAATGTAAAAAATATGTCGTAAGTGTGTGTATATATATATATAGAGAGAGAGACACACACACACACACACACACACACACACACACACACACACACACACGCACACACGCACACGACTGTTAGTGCTTTGCTACAAATTTTTTGTGAGAAAGGATTCAATAATATTTCAAAGGCTGCTTCATATCTACCCAATAAAAAGCATGCATCTCCGAGATCTACAATTTCTTTTTAATAATTAAACAAAAGAACATGGGGGAGGGGGTCACAAAATCTGGCAATATATGAATTGACGACTCCATGTTTTAACCGGTGCTCACTGGTATGCATCATGAAGAAAAAGCTAAATATATATATTTTTTTAGCCCGCTGTGTGTGTGTGTGTGTGTGTGTGTGTGTGTGTGTGTGTTTCCACCGGGAAAGATGACAAAAACTTCTGCCCCTTATCCCAAATGTCAAACCCTTTTTGATAATATCCCACGGATGAGCTGGGAGGAGCTTCATCACCTTTCCGAATAAATGTCTGGCAATGTTCCATAAGGCAGCAAGCTGAAGGGTGGGGCCTTAAGTTCAAATCAGAAAGGAGGCGAAAGCTTTTCTCTGTGCGAGGAATAAGAAGGGGGAGCTACCTCGGAAGACGCAGTTCAAACTGCAAACAGTAATTCACCGCAACAATGTATTGAAACGGATCTGATCAGGCAAACAAGTATTACTAAGTAATAGTGTGCACAGCGTACACACTATTCACAAATGTTTGGAATATTCGGCTTTCGGGGGAAATAAGACGAAGCTAAAATGTGCTCTAACCTTTGGGCTGAAATCGAATTCACCTTCTCAAAACATTGGAATGCATTTTTACAACTGCTAAATGTTTCAGCACTTTTTACACAACGGCAAAATTCATCTCCAGGTTTTTAATACATGAACAGACCACTAATTTCCAAGTAATTCCACCTCTATAGTTTTCTGAGACTCTTCCAGTCTGTTGTAAAATGTTGATGCCACTCAGTGACACACTCAGCCAGGAGCATCAAACGTGTTTTTCTGTTTGATTTCACTCAGACGGCCACTTATGACTAAAACCATATAAATGTGCTCACATGACTACATATCCTCAATTCGCCCCACATTTGGTTTGCATTATTCGTAACACATTGATGAATGTCTTTTTTTTTCTTTTTTTTTTTTAAATCAGAGATCGGTGAAAATAAATGGGGAGAAAAAAATATTTCCACTCCCAGTTAAAATTTACTGTCAAACTAAACCAAAAAGAAAGAAAATTACACATTCCGTATTCCTGGAAACCACAGATAAGTCTACTCCGCTTAATGCAAACAGACAATGCAAAATGCAATAAACGGGCTGACATATCAGTGATAACCCAAATAAGTGATGGATATTTAAACACAAATGGCAGAGCAAAACATGTAGACATAATCAAACATGAGTCACTATCTTCTTTAACCTTTGCGAAAAATGACAAATTTTACTGTGCTTACTAAGGAGTTCTGACTGGCTCAAAGTACATCTGGATGTAAGCATCATACTGCCCCCAAGGTGGCTAAGACACACACACGCACGCACGCACGCACACACACCAAAAAAAGAGTAGCGCAATGTCCATTGAATTCAAGCAAAGAAACGTGGCAAAAAAATGATTCATTCTTCACCTTCAATTGGATTACATCATTACATGTACTGTAGACTTTAAATATCATAGAAGTGTGAATTTTCTAACAAAATACACATTACAAAAATATAGCTTTTATTTTGGAGGGCGTGCGGGAGGGGTTGGGGGGCTGGAACAAGCCATTTCCATTCATCTCAATGGGAAAAATAATTTGAGATGAGTCTTTTGAATTACAAGCGTGGTCATGGCACAAATTTATCTTGTACTGTCAAACCTCAGTTTTCGAATGTCTCGGTTCTCAACCAATTCGGTTTTCGACCAAAAATTTCGAGTTTTTTATGCCTCGGATGACGAAAAAATTTCGGTTCTCGAATGAACTGAGCGCACTTGAATGCACCATTTGACTCCTCTCGCCTTCCTTACACGAGGAAGTGACGCTTCCTCGGGTGGACGAGGAAGTGACGCTTCCTCGTGTTGCTTTCCATTGTGAGCAGACGTGTTCAGTAAACATTTTTATTTTAAAAAGAGCATGGTTTCCGTTTTCAAACAATTTCGGTTTTCGAACAGCCTTCTGGAACGGATTATGGACGAAAACCGAGGTTTGACTGTATCTCAAGGCACCACTGTAGTGTCTTGTTCAGAGCCTCACATTGGCAAGGGACTGGGTATGTATTGTTCCACTCATGGATTGTGCGAAGAGCAAGTTGCCACAGAGAGAATGGAAGAGTCACAGAAAGGCATTAAAAAAAAACAAACATACATAAAAAAAAACATATTGGTCATTTAATTGATTGAGCATCTGCTGTCATATTTTGTCATTCAGCTTTTTGTTCAAGAACAAGTTATTAAAAAAGTGCTGAACGCATTCCTAAGATTAAAGAAGGTCAAACTGAGTTCACCTGGAAACGTCATTTTAGATTCATGCTGAAATTTCACCCCAAAGCTGAGTATACCAAACTTGTTGTGGGTAGTGTACATATTTCAAATGTGTCTGGGACAGTGGAGCTAAAAAGGGGAGGCGACTTGAGATTTCTTCTCATCTAAAAAAAAAGTCTTCTTTTAAAATGACATTTAGAAAATAAATTTGACTTTTATTCTCGCTCTCTAATAAATAAATAGGTTGTCTTCTCTCAAACGTCGAGGAACACATCATCCATCACGTCAGCTAAACGTTAGCAAGCGTCTACATGTTGACTCAGCGCGTGGAGAATAGGAGTACACTGTACCTAGTGTCGAACTAACACCGTCTGCAGTCGGGCGTCAACCCACATAAGATGCAAATACACAGTCAGCCTTTTCACAAGCTACGTTTGCTTTTCCCATTACAGCAAATAAACTTAGTAGAACTCTTTTAAAAAATAAAATAAAATTGTTGAGTGCACGGGTGCGTCACATGGTGGAAATTCTCTTCTGAAGTCACTTAAAAATGTGACATGAAATCTTTTTTTTTTTTTTTTAAACAAAGATTTTTTGGCAACTAACTGCACATGAAAACACTTACATTAATATAATAATCAATGGCTTCTTTGAAAGTACTGTTGGGCTGTTGTTGAGCCTGGTTTCTGTTTTTGATGCAAATCCAAATTAGCGTATTGTTGCTGTGCCACCACAACTCTGTAAATTCATTCAGATTTGCTATCATTTCAGCAAGAATCTACATTCGTCGTAAATCTGGTCTTTGCTCCTTGTGCTCACAAATTCTGAAAGAATGTATTTTTCAGGTCCACCATTTTTCAGCCATTTGAAGTTGAATTTTAGTTACAGATGTGAAGTTAACATATCATCACTGTTTGATTATAACCCAGTCAGTTCACGTTCTACCGCGTTTGCCTTTTTCAATAAAAACATTTATGAATTTATTATCATTCGGTCATAGTATCAGTCAAGTATCTCAATTACCCACCAGATGAGTCCACAAACCACAAAATCAAGCCACTATTATATCTATTTGTGTTGCTTTTATTTGGTCCCGTAATATTTACTTTATTACCGGTACATTTTTTATAGGAGGAAGGTCATCAATTTGCCATTTTAAGAGGAGTTTCAGTTTTAAAAGCGGAGGTGAAGTTAATGTATCATCACGGTATTATCATTAGAACCCCACATTTATTGATGATTTGAGCATAGCGCAACCATTTAAATTTATTAATTTAAATGTAATTTATTAACATGCACTCATTAAATACAGCTTATTTAAAACATTTTTTGCTCTTAGCCGAGATGTGTCCACTGAACACGAAGTCTAAATCCGTTCAATAATGTATGCTGTATTTTTAGGAGCTAGTCTGCATTTAAATTTGAGTTAGTCCACTTTCGGATTGATCGACGATTTAATGTTATTTGTTGTGTTGTGTTTTTACCGAGCACCTCCATTGGGTACCTGATGTGTCTGCCAAATCCAAAGTCAGAATTCTGTTCTTGAATATTTTCTGTGTGGTGTTTTAAGGAAATAATTTGCAGTTGCGTAGAGTAGATCACTATGCTGTTCGATTTGGTTCAAGCATGTAAGCCAAGTTAGCATGTTTACTGTAAAAACCCTGCAAGTCCATTTTCTGATCATTTAGTGTTAAAAATGTTTTTTGGTCTTGTTTATTTTTCTCCAGTGCTAAGCTAGCATTTGGTTGCTGCGAGAACCCTGTGTATTGATATTTTTTTACGAGAATCCCCATTGATTGCCAAAAACAAAGTAATGCAATCTTTCTATAGCTGTTGTTTTGCGTGTTAAGGAAATATGAATCAGTTTGTTTCAGGTGCTAAGCTAAGTTAGCATGTCGTCCAAGGATACCCTAGAAGTCCAATTTCAGACAATTTTGTATGAAACAGATATTTTTCTTGCTCCTGATTTTTTTTTTTTTTAAAGCTATGCTACGTTAGCATTTGGTATCTGTGCTACGACAACCCTGAAAGCCCACTTTTAGACAATTTGGAATTTTTAACAACCCACTAACACCACACGGGTCAACAACTAAATAATAAGACTTGTTACATGCATTGTTCAAATTTTAGGTTTAGTTACATCATTCATACTTTCTCTGAGTTTCTCCATTGGCTGCCAGATATGTCCACCAAACACTAAGTAAGAAATACGTCATGATGTGTTTTAAGGAAAATACTTGTCTGATTTTGTCTTTTTTTTTCCTTCTATTTTTCAAAATACAGATGTGACACTGCGTACATTTTTAACTTCTTATAGATGATGACAGAGAGATATTTGAATGGCAGCAATCCTCACTCCGTCCATCTTAAAGTGTGATCTTTGCATGATTGCATGAGGGGAAAGTCCTACATTCGCGGTAAGCAATGATGGAAGTAAAGGCCTCTGATGTTGCGCCTGTGCGCGAGTGATAGGCAGATACTTCCATTAGTCGCGTATAAGCTCCTTCAAATCCATCAAATGGCACATTTCTAAGACCTGCAGGAGAACATTCTACACAGAGCGCACTCAAAACAGGAAGCAGTGTATGATTAAACCCATTTGGACAGCCATTATCGCTTCGATGCAACGCGTCAGACCTTAACGTTTACTTCACAGGTGTGTGTCGTATCATTGTGAAATTTCAAAGAGAAAGTAATCTCACGTTCCTTCATCCTCAAACGTCCAGGCCCTCCCTTTCGCAGGCAGCGGGGCTGAGAGCTCATTTAAGTCGAGGCGGATGAAACCACCTTATCTCATGTCCCTGTGTTGTTCCGTTGCTTGTCCGCCGCTACTGCAGGTTCTTGAGGAGGCGCCCGTAGCGAAAGTCGTAGACGTGGCGACAGAAAAAGACGAGCTCTGGGTCCACGTCGTCTGGCACGCAGCGGTGGCTGGGAGCGGCGTGGCCGACGGCAGCGGGGACGAGGAGGGAGGCGGCGCTGTTGGGTACGCCCTCCCCGCGCCGTTTTACCAAGGCACAAAATCTGGAAATGGGAAACAAATCGCTCTGTGTATCTCTCCACAAAAGACGATTCGGTATAGTTTTCAATCCGACTCGTGCGAAACGATTCACAGATGATGCGATTTGAAAGTGGTACTATTCGATTTCGGTACAGCTAGTATGGTGGATATTGAAGCCATAATTTAGCGATGTGCATTATCAGCTTGACGGCATATTACGAACAGACACAATTTGACTATGTTGTGACCTCGCTTTGAACCTGATGGTGTGACCTCGCTTTGAACTTCCTTAGCGACGAGACTATTTTTGACAACTTTGCAGATGAATACCACACAACGCTGTGCATGCATCCTCTTTGCTGACTTCCGGTTTCACCCACCCAGTCTTATTCAAACCTGCTAGAGACAAATGTGCTGCAACAGTTATGTTATTCGTAAATGAAAGTATTGGAACAGTTTTGGGAGAAACGAAAGCGCTGCAACAGTCATCGGGAAAACGAAAGTAAAGTATCGATTGAAAGCGACGCCCTGCTTAGAGTATTTAAGACTTGCCTTGAGATATTGCTTTTGCGCATTTGTGCTCTGATCACAACCGTTGTTTGTATCACACTTGTGCCCGGAACGTTCTGATAAAATCTTCATGAAACAACTTCTCCATTTCCAGCCTCTGATTTCACACATTAACTCAACCCGAATTCAAACGAACACGCGGAGGACGGCGAAAGGATCCCGCCGCACCACATCCCCGCCCCCCGTCCTAAAACTGTCTAAGATATAACGGTCCAATAAAAGATGATTCGATACGTTTGATATATTTTCAAGTGGAAGGATTTGATTCGGTTCGATTCCACGCACTCGCATCTTTGAAATCAAAAACCGCTTTTCCGATTCAGTGTTTTGTTACACCCCTAGGAACAAATGTCAGTAAAATGTTTTATGGGAATACATAGACATATTTACTTGTGAAAGGACAAATGCGTTTTTTTTGAAAAGAAATGTTTACATTTGCATTTTACTATCACTTATTACTTTTGTGTATGTAATGTAATATTGTCTGATTTCTTCTGATATCTGCTATGTGTATGATGGACTATTGGTGGAAAATAGCTCACAGAGCTAGGCTCTGGTGCAAAGCATATTTTCTTCAAAATTGCGGCAGACAGCTATGCGAGGGGGGTCAGACACAGACAGGAACAACTGGAGTGGAAGGCAATCTCCAAGTGCCCACTTCACAGTGGTCAAGTGAAGATCTTGGATGCTTCAATCTTCTGCATGGACTCCACCAAGTCTCTTTCTGCTTTCACCATGTCAAAGACTGTGTGTTTATCTCCTGCACTGAATTTAAAAGGAATGAGAGGAACTGCTTCAAAGTCAGCTGTGTTCACTTTGACCACGGCGCAAACGCCCGCTTGCCCATGAAAAAAAATGAAAACAAATTCCACCCAATATGCACAATTGCGCTTTACACTCGATTTAGGCTGTGCACAAAACGAGGGCCCAAAGTATTTATGTGAATGCACACGTTTAAATTAAGTGTCTGTGTTGGATGCACAGACACGTGTATATAAATGATGTGTATGTGTTCATATGATCAACAGCCAAACAGGAGAAAATGAAGTTGATGTGTTTCTTACCGGCAATACTGTGCCAGTGTCAGGACATAGCATTTATCTTCAATACAGGCCACGCTGTTCACATCTTGGTGACGGGACGCAAAGATTTCATTCTGCACATAAATGAAAATGAATATCAGCTACAATAGATTATAGATTGAATGTTTTAAAGCCCACCACTGAGCTGTAGTCTGTGGGCTGTGCATAGACATTCATATATCAGTCAATGATGTTATTGGGCAAATAAGCTCGTCACCTGACAATGTACATGAAGGTTGCGTCCTCCTTGTGTGTGTTCTGGACGGTAGTACCAAAACAAACTCATCATTAACTCTCCTGGGAAAGAAACACAACAAAAACATGCATATGATATACTTATCACAAAAGGTTTGGGAAGCCTAAATGAACTAGAACTTTTATAGGGGGTCTTCATTCGATCACTATGCAAAGTCAAAATTCACAACACAGCGTTTCTATTACCTGTCTCAGGCTCCTCCCACAGTGCTGAGATCTTTGCCACATAAGGAAGAGACTTTTTCCTCGGCCCGGACTTCAGCAGAACTGTGTCCCTGACCCGGATCAGCTCTCCGTCCCGTTCGACTCCCTGGAAACACTTCCTCGGCACCACAGCTTCCTCTCCCTGGGATAATACAGGCGGCAGGACGCATTGAGTCGTGTTGTCTGGCAACAAGCGACTGATAAGTTGTGAGGGGCTGCGGCTAAGAAACCGCACGATGGTTTTTGGACTGACTGACTCTTGTGACTCAACAGAAATGTGAATTCAGTGCATCCTTCTAACTGCCTTCCAATTTGGATGGGGCTCTGTTCCAAAAGTGCCGACATAACCCAAAAGGCTGAATGCACAGTACACTATCACTGAGCTGCGGTCACAAATTAACAAAGCCAGAATGACAGTAAATACTTGAGTAAACACTTACAGTCACGTATGCTGAAATGATTTGACTTCAAATATTACCGATACAACGTTTGCAGTAGATGTTTTATAAAGAAGATAAATTCAATATAAATAACTGGTATTTTCATTAATTCTTAAGGTGAAAATGAATATAAAATCCAAACAAATCAAAGCTGAAGATGGGTCAAGACGATAACGGACCGTGATGCATGTTGGCAGAGTCATAAAGTAGCAGAGTGACTTCTGTCTACGTACCAAAGAGAAAACTTCTTTTTCAAAGGGGAGGCCGACGGGGCGCCAGCCGTTGGTGCTTTTTTGACGTCCGTTCTTGGGCTGCTTGGCAAGCGCTTGCCCTCTGGCTCCGGCAGAGCCCAACTTCTGCTTCTTTTCCTTTTTGAGCGGGAACACAAGCGAGCTGATGCTTCCCGTGCTGCGGGCGCCAGACCGAGACCCGCTGGGAGGCTTGGCGCTCTGCGGACACTCCTTGGCCACCTGCAGTGGGGGCTGCGGTTGGCTGGGGTCAGACAGAGGCGTCTGAACAAGGGGCACTGATTGGCTGGCTGGAGGCACTGCGGGAATGGGGCAGCCAGTGAGGATTCTCGGGCTGGGACAGATGGGAACGGACGACGGGATGTGGTGGTCTTTGAGGGTTGATGAGTAGTCGTCTAAGGGAAGAACAGAGAAGGTAGCGAGACACTAAGAAAGACAATGGGCACTCTGTTAGGTACACTCGCACAATCTAATTAGATCGAATACAAAAACCCAAATGAGATAACGTATGCATTGAGAAACCAAAGCGTTATTCATTCTTACATTTTAATCGCCGTGTAGCATTATATTGTGACATTTCTAATAATAAACAGGATTAGAAAATCCAGATGTGCTATTATACTATTACATTCCATGCCAGTCACACATATAATAATCACACAAAAGCTCTCTGATTAATACAATACACTACAGTAAAATCCATTACATAGCGGTTTCTGGGTTTGCAGGTGTAGTGTTTCACATATTTTTTGTATGAGTGTTATTCATTTTGGTTTTCACCATTTGCCGGCATTTTGTTTTCAGTTAAAATCCGTTGCATCACAAAAAAAAATACCTACTGATTCAATCAGAGTGTCGCTATTGTTTTGCCAGCCACTGATTGGCAGTTGTGTTCTTGTCAGTAGACGTACAGCATGCTGCTCGCCTTGCTGATCACTTTCACCTTTCCCATTCTGTAATGTAATGTAATTTTGGCAGAGTGGCATCCCCTACATGTGTGGTGCTGGTTCGCTGCATTTCCAAAACCAGTATTGATGGAGCCATTCAGATCTTTTTAAAAAATAAATAAATAAACAGCCAGCAACTGCCCATAACTAGTGATGGTTAAAATGAAGCCTCCTGAACCACCAGGGGAATTGCTTCAGATTAAGAATCATTACTTGATGTTTCATTCACATTAGCTCTCTACTGACACTTGTTGTAGAGTAGAAAATCTGGGAGATGAAATCTTGAAATAATGTTAAAGAGTGTCCTAATATGGCAAAATGAAGCTTCATAAATCATTAAAGCACTTTGTTACAGCTGCAGCTGTTGCGAAAGCGCTATATAAATAAATATGTATTCTCATGAGTATAAGCGGTTTGGATAATGGATACATGGATATTGTATTGTATTGAAGCCTTTTGTCATCGGTCACACGATTTTCTTGGAACCGACACGCACCGAATCGAGGCATTTTTTGGCCCATCATTACCAATAACCATGTTCGTAACAAAAAAATTGATGTAGAAAAAAAAAAGATATGTCTCAGACTTGGCAAATAAAAAAAAAAAAGATTTGGATTTGTTAAAACAGACGATATAACTTAACAGTGGTGCATGATAAATATGATCTGTGAAACAAAATCTGCTGTCTCGAGCCCTATCTTGTGGGGAAACATTACAACCAATAAAAGACACGAAGAGCGTCAATCATTTGTCGCGCACTCAAGGAAAACTCATCGTGGGCATACCCTCATTTTAATATTTGTCCAGCATTTTCACATTCTACACTGTAGTTAGTATCTGTGGCTTTAAATGTGTGTGACTTTAAAAGGCAGGGGTGCACACAGAAGTCATATAGATTTCCCCAGCACTCTCTTCTGCTACAACTCTACTTTTTTCCTCCATCTCTTTTATTCCTCATAACCTATCTATGCCTCACATCTCTATTTACTTCTCCCTGTAGTGCCCCGAGTGGGTGGACTGTGACACCACAGATTTTTTTAAAGCACTTTTTATTGGTGAGACATCATCACCCTGCTAGTATGGTGGAAGGCACATGAGAAATTATCAAGCCAAAGACAAAAAGTCGCTCGCTGTTTCGGCCAGCACCTGCTAACACAATGCAGAGCGTCCACCACTTTTTGCATTGCCCCCTCTGGAGATTAATGTTTCAACCATTACAATGGCATATTTATGTGGGGCACATGACTTTCAGAACAACAGCCACAGAGGATAAGTCATTTTTCACTCAACAGCGCGCTTCAGGCTCCATGTCAACACAAACCTCTCCAACCTCTTATTCTTCACGACTGGCTGAAAAAGTCAAATCTACCCCTTGCTAAACGATGGCGGTGTATTCTCGTCACAGTTTGTCAGCAGAATACACCGTTTTAGTACAGTAGTGTGTTCTTGAATTTAGGTGACGATGTTTACATTACTGGAAGTGAGTTCAGTGCAATTCCTTTTCCTTTTGGAAGTGTGAAATGTTCCCAAACTTTGAACATTCTTTGCCTTTTATAAACTCTTTTCACATGTCTCGCATTTTCTGCGAGTCGGCAGTAAGAGTCCGTGTGGAAAAATTATCATAGCAAAATCCAGCAATGTAGTGAAAAATCCACAACAGAAACGATGAGACCATGAAAAGTGAAGCACAATATCACAAAGGATGACTATCATCCAATCAAGACAAAATAAAAGACAAAACTTTTCCCCAAAAGGAAATTACAAGAAAGAAGCGCAAATACTGAATCCTGCTGGAAATAGCAAACAACCACAAGTAATTGACGGCCCCTGAAAAGTTTTGAATTGCATTGGAGATGCCATGACATTCGATTCGTCAGGGCTTTTGCTCTAATTCTGTTAAATAAGCAAAGCAGCAGCACAATAGTACATAAATCGCCTTTTGATAAATTAATAAAAATAAATAAATAGAAGCCTGCCCCGGGACAATATGTAGCTGAGTAAACAGATTGACAGTATTTTTGCAGTGACGTTTTTGGTTTGTCAGATTATTTGAGGTAAATTCTCAAATAATTAAGAAGGCAGATGCGAACAAAGAACAACAAAGAAGCACGCCCGGAGAAAAACTGGAGTTGTTCACAATTTGCGACGCTTTTATGCAGTCAGCACTGTAGGGGATTCGCTCAACGAGTTCCTTTTTTTTTTTTCTTTTTTCCCCCCAAATAATAGACAACTTCTTCTGAACAGGCTTCACACTGCGACGATCAAGTGGATCTTAGATGACTGGAACTGATTGGAACTCATGGCCCATTTTTATTTGTATTGGCACAATACAAATAAAAATGAAGGAAGATTGCTCCAGTTCAATATTTAAGGTCATGTTATTGTGGTTTAGAAAACAACAAACATGAAATTTCCTACGACCCCAATCTTTGTAACAGAGATTATGGAAGTCTTTTTTTTTTTGTAAGTTCTTACATCCTATAGAAAAGTACTTCAGTGGAACCTCCAGCAGTTGTACAAAATGGAGCTTGGCCAAGACTAGAGCACTGTGAAGCATCTATTTCTTGATGTTCTTTTTTAATAGTGAAGAGGACACAAATGTTGAAGATGTGGAAGCGCTACTTTGCCAGCTTACGATATCGGATCTTAGACTTTAACAGAAGTGGAACCCTGGCAGGCGCAACCAGAGTCTAAGTTTAAAAGCAGAGATTCTGTGTACACGCCACCTTGTGTTGAAAGCTGTTGGTGTTGTCCCCACGCATCTGATTATCTCAATGGGACAAGCTACAACTTCCGTGTGAGTGCGCAATTAATGCATTCGTTCTCTGTACCGCTTATCCTCACTTGTATAGTGGGCGTGATGCCTGGTGAATAAATCTCAGCTCTACTGTGGAAACTTTTCAGATGTTTGCTGAAAAACTTTTCGTGCTTTAATGTCCCAAGATCCCACAAGATGGCGCCAAAGACCACAGCAATAGGATAAGAGTCATTGCTGTTCAGGAAGTATTGTTGAAGTGACACACAAACTCTTTGTGTGTCAGGGAGGAGCTAAGTTTGGCCTGGGTTGTTCACGGAAGTTATTGGAGCATCATCGCCATATTCGCATTTTCAAAATCAAATTCTCCCTAATTATGCCATTTATATTCAAGGGTAATGTTAAAAAAAATTATCAAATGGTATAAAAAGTATAAAAACAAATTGAGGGTTTTATAATGGTGACAGTTTAACTTTGCAATGCTTATTTCCTATTGGGGGAAAAAAAAATGGTTGGATATCAGACAACGTTCCGAAGCTTTTTGTTTTCTCTTTCAGAGCTTCCACCACTTTTCATTTGCAAATGACCGTCAGGGTAAATTTATACTAAATTGAGCAAAACATGTTTAATTATACTGAATTAGAATTGCTAATCTGAGCCCCTTGAAATGACATGGAATTTTGCATCTCCAAATGGGAGCCTCTGGGTGACTGGACCCACGCATGGAAAAGCAGGAAATGCCTCCAGAGGGACTTTGTACTGAAGAATAACTCTTCCTTATCTACACATCCCCTCAAGCTTGATGTTTATTTTGATCCAAGACTACAAAACTAACATTTCAGATAGCGCCAACAAAACATGGACTGAAATGTGCACTCACCTCTGTTGATGCCACGGGTGCATTTGGCGCAATCTCCTCTGGAAATGGCCGGAATCACACTGCTGTAGGTGGAATAGCCGTTGATCCTGCAGGGCTCTCCGTAGCACGCTTCCACAGAGGTGCAGCAGTAGACTGGATGGGAAATCCCTGAGGGCTGCGGGCCAGAGCTGGGCAGCAGTTTGGGTCTCTTGCTGCTCTTTGGGCACAGAGTGAGGGGCGTCATGGAGGACGGCGAGGTGTCCGGGTGGCTGAAGTGGACGCAGTAGCTGGGGAAGCAGGCGTACGCGTGCGGCGTGATGGTTATGGCTGCCGGGTGGTGGAGGTGGTGATGGTGGTGGTGGTGGTGATGGTGGTAGAACACCTCGGAGAGTGAACCTTCGTCGTCGGGTTCCTTGACGGCCTTGTCCTTGAGGAAGAGGGCCAGTCTGTGACAGTACTCCACACATCTCTCCTGGCTGCAGCAGTAGCAGGAGGAGACGTCTGTCTCCTCCTGCTCCTCTTTGATTGTTTTTAAGGAGAATCCGAGTGCCGAGCCGCAGTGGAGCGGGGATTTTAAACAATCCTGTCCATTAGACTTCCACTCGGGATCCACAGCTTCCGTCTTACAAAGACTACAGAATCCCTGGGCCGGAAAGCCTGGATCCTCTTTACCCTGTTTAATGTGCTTTAGCTGCTCATTGTGTTTTGGATTTGTTCTTCTTTTGGTCTGCAGTGTTGCTCCACTTAAAGGTTTACCACTAATCTCAACCTGAGTTAAAGCCTTCGCTTTACTTTCGCCGGCAGGCTTGGACTCCTGCTTCTTTTGCCGCTTGTTTCCATAGAGGGAACCGGTGAGTTTGAGCAGCGTAGCAGCAGTGAGGCCCGCCTGTCGCCGAGGCGTCGGGGCGAACAAAGTCAACCAGTCGACCGGCGGCGCCTCCGCCGTGGGCCGTTTTTGTTTTTTACGACTTTTTTTCAGGTCTGTTTTCCCTCCCCGAAGAACCTTTTTGGCTTTATGGGGTCTGCATTCACCTTTAGACGGCGCTTGATTCAAAGACTGCTCTTTCTTAATGAGACTGGATGCCAAGGGATCGGCCCTATAGAGCAGCAGGCTGTTGACAGCCTCTGCGTTGAGAGAAGCCATTCTTCTCCTGCGAGGCTCCGGAACAAGCGGGGGCCACATCAGTAAGGTGTCAGATTTGCTACTTTTTGGTTCCAGTGGTTGTTGACAAGTAGATTTCTTTAACTTTTGATGAGACTTGTGAATTTTGGTCCTGTTTTGAGAAGACTGCGGTTTCTTACTGGTCTTAACACTTGGTTGCTTGCAGGTTTTCTGCGCATCCTTCGGCTTACCCACGGCACATTTCTCCTCCAGACGGGTGAGCAGAACACAACAATCCAGTGCATCTTGAACTTGACCCGCCAAAGTCTTCTTCCGAAATGTGTGTGACTCTTTCTTCTTCTGCTTCTTTCTCCTCAGGTCCTTTGTTCCATCTTTACCTTTTCTCAGCCCGCCTCCCTTTTCTGTGCCTCGCTTCCCATCTTTCGCTGGCTGGCGTCTCTGAGCTTTCACCATGATCTCGTCCTGGAGCGGAAAGTACGCCCCTCGTCTTCATCAACGGGATTCTACGACGGCGGCTGGAACTCAGAGTGGCCGGTCAGCACCAATCATCATGGAACGTCAAGTGGGGCCACACGCGCACTCTCTGGGGAGAGACGGAAGGAGTCGCTTACAGATTATCCTGTGACGTAAACGTAACAGACATATATGATTTAGCAACAGATTTTACTTCATTCGCAACCAGTTCCCAGATACATCCCAAGAGGATTAGGCCCGATGGCTTTAAATATAAACGTAATGTGCACAAGGTATGATAACTCCATTAGGGTATAGATTAATGCCTCAGGCCATATTGCGCTCCTCTAACTGTAGTCATATGCCACGACTGCACTAGTTAACGTGCAAATTTGCCCACATGATATGATGACATTGCTGCCAAAAGCCATTGCCTTTTTATCACCATTTCCTGCGCAGATTGATGACTCAACTAGCCCACGAGGAACACAATTCACTCACCCAGTGTAGCACAACAACACACATCAGTGATGTATTATTATTTGTTCTAGCTGACGGATGCTTTTAGAGATGAGTTTGGATCTGTGCTTCTATGCCACACTGATTTAATTGACGTCACATGGACACAGCCTGCAGCTGAATGACTTAAGTGGCTTCCCGAAGAGTGGCTCATTGGGTATATCGCTTAAAAAAAAAAAAGAAAAAAAAGAGTGGATAGAACTGACAAGGCCGATGAGTCCATACCGTACGTCAACATCCTGCATGGTGAGCTCAGTTAGGAGACGCTGCCGTATGAGATGAAGGAATTTCTCCCGTGCAACAGTCAAAGGATTTCTGAACTAATCCAAAATTCCCTCCGTAAAAGCATCTTCGCAAAATGGGTATCTCTCGTGAGATGACACCAAAATGTTTCAAATAGTGAATTAAAGCCATCAAAAAAGACCAACCAAATCACACATGCGGAGACACGAGAAGAGATGTGAGATTGAAAGAAAGTGCGCAAACAGCTGCACCCTTTGAGCTGCGGGTATGGGGTGGGGGGTGTCCTTGCTCAAGGGCACCTCAACAGTCACCAAAAAAAAAAAAAAAAAAAATTACAAGCATCTCTCAAAAAACAACTTGCCAGTTTTGCATTTTGTTCGACCATCCTTACAGATAGATGAGCTTCAGTCATCATTCTTACGCACACCTCTAATAACAAAATTGCTTCGTTTTACTGCAATAATTCGACACGGCAGTGTCCAATTATGCTCTAATCAACAGCAGCAGCCTTTTACATCTCGGAAAACGATTTCTGAAACTCGACAAGTTGATAAAAATACAGAAATAACTGACGAAATCTTGAGTTGCCACCAACTGTTCTCAAAGCATTTTAATAGCTGAGATTGCCCTTATTGTCGCACGACTCGGTGAAGCGTGAAATGCAATTCATCAGAGAGAAATGTAATTTGAAGATAACAAGAGGACGCGGGGAGACGCACGTCAAGTTTCTGTGCGGGGATATCAAATCAAGGCGCTCCTTTTGAATAGCGCAGACGTGCACAGTGGAAGGACAGGGGCTCATTGACCAGTAACATTTGTCAACATCTAACACTGTAGTTGTACAGACACTGGACGTAAAACACTTCCACATCTGGCTCGTCTTCGCCCTGAACCTGAAGAAACATGATTTAGGGATTTTTTTGAGAACGTGAACTTCGCAGAGTGACGTTCCAAAGGAGATTCGAACCCAGATCTCCAGACTGTGAGGCAGACATGCTAACCCACTGTTCAGTATCCTGCCAGAAAAGCACCTCTACTATTCAATCCAGAAACCTAAAAAAGAAACGCGCTTAAATTTATACTTGGTGAAAGCCTCTATTGATTTAATTACAGCATTCAGACTTTTCGGGTAGGAGTCTATCAGCATTCTCCGACTCTTACATGCAAAAGCATTCTAAATGCGTTCTATTATGAGGGCACAGCACAAGCCTCTTCAGGTCACCTCACACATTTTCGTTTAGATTTTAGTCTAATATCTGATAATCCCAAAAAGACAACATAATATGTTCATCAAGCGTAAATATCATCAGAAAAAATGTCGTTTTGTGAATATAGCAGGACAATAATATCCAAGAGGATTGGTCTATGTGTTGACGTTTGTGAGAGAACTTTGACTTTACATCACCAGCTACATCACCTATTTATTTCTTTGAATCATACTGTTCATGATACCTCAGTCGAAATAGGAAAAAACAATCTACACTCGGATGTGCATTTTGCTGCACACCACCGAGACAAGCAGAGGACTCAAGCATGCAGGCATGCAAGGAAATAAGACGGAGAGAGGCGGCGCGCAAACAGCGACTGTGGCCCTTTACTGAATGAAGGGGATGGGACGTGTGTGTGTTGGGGGGCTGGGGGAGGGAGGGGGGCAAAATTGACATTCCATCACTCCAACAACTAATTGCAACTTCTGTCTGCAACAGGGTTCAAACTGTGACCCTCCAGCTCCAAAGACCAAGTCCTTACAGGGGAGCTGCCACCCAAATTACAACTTGATTCTTATAACAATTACAAGAAAAAAACAAAACTATCAAGACAGAAGGGAATTCACCAGAATATATCGTATGTAACAAACGTGATTAGGTGATGGGGTCTTGATTTTCCGATGCGTCTCTTTATTCATCATTGATTTTAAACGCTCTCTTTCAAGAAATGGGAAACAATTGTATATTTCTGATCACAAGGCAGCTCAACGTGACAGCAGCTGCCGTGTTAAGGCTCTTGTACGGTTTCTGCATTGCCCGTCCACAGACCGCTTTGGACTTGCATGCAGACCCCAGATGCACACGCGGTTCCATTCATTCTACATTTCAGGTTATGTATGTCTTCCAAGTAGGGTTGGGCATCGTTTCAATGTGGACGGTTCTCATTCCAGATTTCTCAATTGGATTTCGGTTCCAACAATTCTCAATTGCATTTCTTGCATGGTTTAAATCAGGGAGCTAACCAGCCACCAGATATTCCTTTGGATTGATTCGAAGCAGCACAAGAAGGTTAAAGACACGGGATAGTCAATCAAGTCATGGCCAGATTGCACAAACAATCTTTAACTTTAAAAGTAAATAGCTTGAGTTTAAATTCTGTTGCACCTAACTTTAAACCTAGTTAAAACGAAGACAGATTCAATTGAAACCTCTCTTTGAAGCGCAGTTTAATTTATACTCTTAAACCAAATTTAAATTTAATTCTGTTGCTCCAGACTCTTTATTCATCAATGATGAATGCATCTCATCAGGGCTAATCTCAAACCTTGTTGATGCAACCGGGCCTATTCCTTGCATCTGGCGGTGGAGCTATTTGTCTAAGTTATTTTAAATTTGAATTATTAAGAGCGGAATAATGGATTTCCACACGCAAGCATGAAGCGAAGCAGTTATTCGTTGTTGTTCGTTGCTTTGCAAATGTGTGGTCGCTGTTCAGTCCGTGTGGTTGTAAAACACCGCTTGCACGCGGTCGCCCACCACGTGTCTGCACGGACCCTTGCACACACGGGTGGATGGAGATATTTACATTACATGGGAACACGTGGATGTGGAAAGCATTAAAAGGCCGTTTGTCAGAAGACCAGGCGTACTTCACTCTATACATTTGCTCTGTACAATTAGTCCTTTATGGCAAGATCAAAACCTCTTCATCACATACAGATCAAAAAACATTACTTTAACATTATACTGTGAGAATAGAGTTGCAGTCACTGTGAGAAGAAAGTCGTCTATTCTTGCAACGTTATGGTTTTATTCTTGAAACTTGGGCTCTAATATTTTTGAGGCAAACGTAATCATTTCCTGGTGAAGCCATTAAAAAAAAAAAAAAAAATCCTCAGAATTTTCAACTTTGTCGCAGATCCTTGAGGATTTGAAGGCAAAAATGACGACAGCCCGAAAACTTTTAAGCGGCAAAACCACACTTCATTGTGGTGATGATGTTCTCTTAGTTGTTTTGGTGCACAGTTAGTTTGCGCCAAACAACCAACCAAATAAGCAACAATGAAGAAATATCACACTTGAGGGAATAATGATATCGTCATTCACTTTTTTGAAACAGAACTACTTCTTGGGTACTGATTAATGCCAATGGCTACTCGAGTGATTAACACTTGTGAGATTGCTTCAGGTTTAAATTTTATTCATACTATGGGAGCAAGTAACTTTTTTGTTGTTTTCCCGAGATTCATCTGACTATTTCTTCCCCATAGACTGATTCAGTTACTGGTTTTGTCCATACCCAAAATTAATGTTCTCACACACACACACACACACACACACAC